TGTTTAAAAGTGATGGATTCGATTTGTGAAATGCTAAGCGATATCCCACTGGTCCTCATACATATTTATACAGACAGAGATTTCCTATTTTTTTTTTTACTTTCATTGCATTAATTTTACTAAGTTATTTCCTCCGAATTGAGATCATAATTTTGATAATAGGAATTCAAAATATTTGATTTGATTATAAATGTACAATATTGAAAGCAGGGTTTGTGAAACATCACCTCATTCTGACCTCAATTAAAACATAGGACAAACACTGACAAAAACACGCTGCATATTATTGTTGTAATTACCGTATGTCATACATAATGTGACCAGGTGATGTAACGTGATTATGGATTGTATAAACCAATAGATTTATTAAAATAAACTTAAAATTAAAAGAGTTGACAAGGAGGACATCCTGTAGAATACACATTGTATTGTTAAGGTTATTGAATGAATAATTTTGAAATATGACAATTTACAAAATGTGATGCATTATACAAAACATGATGTCACATTATTAGAATGTTCAATTCAATTTAAGATGCGAGGGAAATACGCAAATGTACTCTGTAAAAACAAGAGTCATAATTCTAAGATACACATATAATACGATTATAAGGTTTCTATCGGAGGGTGACGACAATGTCACGTTAGGATGTTGATATGATGGAATGTAGATTAGTAAAATAGAGAGAGAGAGAGGTCACTTCTGATGTAAAATACATACTTTGGAACATTGTATAATAATAGCTAAATAATAAAAAGTACACATAGAAGATCCAATGTATCGAAGTTTCAAATACATATGAACTATAGAAAACTGAGTTACTCGGATCGACAGGCCCGGCAAAGTTCGTTCCGTGCATAACACAACATATTTTTGATCCAAATTTAAACATTTTGAGAATGCACTTCAATCTTACAAATAAAAATTATATCACTGATGCATATGTAGATTATCGTAATAATAATCGTAATATTCATAGATCTCTAGTGACTTGATAGGGTAGAAAAGGAAGAAAACGATATCCCATATACACAACTGATCCCATATGACCTGTGACTCGCAGTAGCTCCCATGGATTGAATCGAGAAAGCAAATGTCATGTAGGGTGTTTATAACATCTTGAAAGAATGTTACTCAAGGTAACTTGTGGTACGAAAAAATAAATACATGTATTTGAATAGGTAAATTAAAAAAATTGATTAGACATTAGGCCGTTATACTTGTAGTCAAACGTCGATTCAAGAATTGAGAAGATTAGTGGCTCTTTTGCGACCTCGTCTGTGCTTACAATTTTAATCACAATATTCATTGCAACATGCCAGCCTGTATGTAAAATAACAATGGGTATTGCTCATACGCTACATTTAGTCACTGACTAGAGATTTATGTTAGGATTCATTGTACGCTAATCAACATATGCACGGGCGCCATGATTTTTCCTTGTAATAATTAAGTGAATGCTGAAAATGTTCGAATTTTGATCAGAAAGACACTACGTTGGAAAAGTTTGAATTTATATAAAAAAGCTGTTGTACAATGCATGAAACGGAAATACTGAACCCGGCTTTTTTCAATCGAGTAACTAATCTTGCCTTAGTCGGGAAGGTAACAAATATATCGTTGTATGCACTTGTAACGCCCTATTCGATACATTGATCCACTATTTGTACTCCATAATACTAAGCGATCATTATACATTTTATATTGTCGTCACTCGTCGATAGGAACGATATAGTTGAAAACATCGTGTTTTATTGAAAAATTCAATTTTTTCGAAATATATTCGAAACAAAATTATGGTTTCACCATTTATTTCAGTGTTAGGAACATGTGCTTCGACAACATTGTATTTACCTCAGTGTATGCCGTTCCTATTTTTTAAATTCCATTGAAATATTGTATACTTTTAATATGACGTCTTGTTTTAGCTTTGCGTCATATTTTGAAAATTGTTATTTTTGCCCAATCATCTTTTCGATAACCCTAACAATCCACTGTGCATCATACACTATGCCATTCCTATCAACCCTTCAATGATTAGTTCATTCTAATAAATACATATATATAAATAAATAAATAAATATATACAGTATATATATAGAATCCCTATTTGCGTTGTATGACCTGGTCATCATATATATGACCTTATTGCAATAACAAAAATGCCTCGTCAGCCTAATATTTTAATCGAGGTCATAATGAGGTGATACATTACAAATTTTGCTTTCGACATTATCAATTTTGTTTACAAAGCAAATTATTCTGCAATATCATCACGATATGAAGGAAAGATTAGAAATCTTCAGTCGTATATTTATTTCTGAGGACAATTCAGTTACTGCAAATTGAATCCATGTTTTTCAAATTCCATTATGCAAAAAGTCGCTGTTGATAAGTATAAGTTTAATATATTTGATGAGACAATTTTTATTTGTTTTTTTTTTATCATTCAACATATTTGACATAAAATGACACAATACACAAAGTCTATACTGGAATTTCTTTACACACCCAAGTGTAGTGAATTTCAGCAGCTGGCAAAATAGATTAGACCGAAATTAGATAAAATAGATAGCGAATTGAAATTACATACGCTTATTGAACTACATCGGGCTTTTACTGAAATCGACCCCACAAATCTGCCGCATCACAAAGAATATGTTTTATATTCTTTATTTTCTATTTTGAATATTTGTGAGTCATGGAGTTATAAAATTTACTAAAAGCACGGACGATACTTTTTTATGAGTATCATTGTATCGCGATACCAATGGAATGCCCAAGGATATTAAAAGTAAATACGCAGAATTATGGTGGCGCATTATTGGGGGTCAAGCAAACCATCTAGTGTCCAGAGCAATGATTTTCAATCAGGGCTCCGAGGCCCCGGTTCCGCCATTTCAGTCCCTGGGGTGTGCCCGTTTACTTTCAAATCCGACAGAATATATTGACGTACTGTACGTACATTACATTATTGGAATATATTCAACATCAATTAGATTTCCCACTATTATTTATCTTGCTACATGTTAAAGATCATTCTGTTTTGACTGTAGACCTACTGAACTGGAGAAGCTACTGGAATGTTTCCTTGAGGATCTGTTTACTCAAAAAGTTTGAAACTCACTGTTCTAGAGCAGAGTTTCCCAAGTTTTTAATCTCGCGACCTCTTCCAATATATTAAAATTTCCGCGACCCCTGTTCACGTTTAAAAATCTAAACAGTTCAAAACATGCAAACGCACCACTTTTCTGATCCAATGTGTTCTCTCGAAATCGTGAGATCTATGTTTTGCACTGGTTTGAGATGTTGTGTTCAAAAGTCTAATAAAAGTACCAAAAGCTTGGTTGCGGTAGTAAAATGAAAGTTACTAGAAAGTTAGATTGGATGGTATTTTTTATCGTCTACCTTCTTCGAAAAGTGTAAGCATATTGAATAGTCATCATTCCTTGTAACTGTAGAATAGTATGAAGGTCATGACCCACATTTAAACTTATGGTTTATAATTTTGAGATGATGATGAATGTTAATATTTCAAGGAGATTAATCTAATTATCTTGTACAATGAATATTAATTAAATATAATACAACAATGTTATCATGATTAATCATCATATCGTCGGGTATAACGTATTATCTACAGAATTTTCTGTGAAAAGGTTACACATACGCACACAGATACCATTTAATGCGTTGTTTTTGCTTTAAATATGTGTTTTGTTTTTATAACACAGCTAAGGGTTCATAAAAAGTATGTTTGTTTAATTACGTGCACGACTATATTAAATGAAATAAGAAACCATTTAGGATGCGAAATGCAGCCTAATATGGCAGCACAGGAATATAATTACAGCGATCAGGATGTAATAAAAGGTCAGTGCGCTCAGTGGTGTAATGTTACTATTGTAGCTTCGCGTAATCGCAAAGGATGATTATATATGGCGTCCACGAATTCTTGAAATTTTTTTAAATTGCAAAGGGAGTTTATCAATACCAAATATTGCTTACAGATGTATTTAATGAAGTAAAAATTCTTAAATATTTACTGAATAAAAAGATCAAACCTGGTAAAGAAAAGATATTTTAAAGGCACTTTTTTGACTCCCTGTATAGTTAAATGCGATTATCAATCAAGACCGAGTGAGAAGAGGAAGGTTGAACTGGCGCTTTATTTTTATGATATATCCCAGATCTGACGGACAATTACTAGCCAGTAATGTTTTTACAGGCGATAAGCTACGAGAAAGAAGTCGATAAACGGCTAACTTATTTAGCCTCATAATCTTTGAAACATATAACGAGTCGTGTTGTACATTTTTTACTAATTTGCCTAATTTGCTAGTTTGAAGTTAATTATAAAATTATTGCGTTATGTAATTCAATCGCGCGTATTTAGAAGGAATTGTTATATATGCAAAACTAATCAGGTTGAATAATTATCGCACAACCGTAACTCGTTTTTTTTAAGAATGTAACTGCTGGAAGAAGTTACTCTAAATGTAATTATTCGCACGTTGTACTAGATTTGTGTACCTTTATTATTTCCGTTTTCGACTTGCTTCTATCTCTGGGGTAAATATTTGACTTTATGCCCAAGCCAAAAGTTTGACGAATGTCATAATGAGTATAATGCAAACGTAAAATACAATGTAATTACACGGCGACTTATGCCGTTTCGTATTTGATTAAGTAAAGGTGAAAACATAAGAATACCGCCTAAAATGATCAAAAGTGGCCAAAACATAGTATTATTAGCTATCAAGCTCTAAATGATATTTTCAGTCAACTCCAAGCAATGGCAATAACATACTCAACATTCAACTTTACATGGCCGGGATAGGTATTTGATCATAGTCATTCATGATATTTGTTCGACCCCTTTGTGTATAAATCAAGTGAGATATGGTACTAATAACTAAGCAGGCTTGTCTAAAGTCTTATTAAAAATGGAGGTGTGGTGAAGCCTCATAAACAATAAGCAATCATTAGGTGATATACGAGGCCGTAAACATTTCATGTCTTCAATTTCTACAAACTTGATGAAAAATTGTAATGTGTGAATCGAAGTTTTTTGTTAAATGTGAAAAATGGTTATGATATATAAATAGATACATATATATATATATATATATAAGGATAAGAATGACAATATCTTAACATACGTTTTTTTTTATAAATACGATTAAAAAGACATCTAAAAATTCGTAAACATCTTTTTAGGTCTATGTCATGCAAATTTTTCTTTAAATAAAACTTGACATCAAGATAAGTTAATTCATGCAACACTATGATCAAATTTTTGCACAATAGTTTGGTGTTCGTACTCCTATGTGACACGGTAGCCCAAGGTAAGTCCAATTTGAACGTAGACAATAATTGAAATTCCCTGAAAAAATCTTCTGATGGACGTGTTTTAATATAAACATTGAATTAGGATAGCAAATAAGAAACTTAAAAAACGTACAACAGATTTATTGTATAAATACATTTTTGTATAACAATGCAAAAATGCTATCAATGCTAAAATGTGAGATTTGGAAACTAAAACGGCGCTCTTTAAGTAATGCAAATTGCACGCTCCACCTTTTAGATAACTGTAAAGTGGGAATACGCAGACAATACAGTCGCTTTGACACAAACGTGAACAAACGTGAAATGGCGATAACCGACCCAACGCGGAGGCTTTCTACAATAGATCATGAATGTTATATTACAATAAATATTCACACAAAAATAACCGTTCACTTTTCAGACTTCTCTCTTTCACTGACCGTTATCACACACGTAATTACCGTCAACCTCGATGAAACGGCATCTGTTCATTTGAATATTTCAACATCTGACACGGTGACAGTGACTGCGTACAAATCCAACAATCTTGCCAACATCATCAAACAGGAATTAGTCACAAGGTCACAAACAGAAGTGACATTTAATATTGGTCCAATTGGTGATTCAGATAGAGGAAACTATACATTCATCGCAAAACCAGATCCCAGTAATGCATATGACCAACGGGTAGAAGTTGAAATTAAAATAAAAGGTAATATTATACTGAAAAAATTTGCAGCTGTATTTAACAAGTGTTTAATATTATTCGTGGTTTTAGAAATTCGATTGGTTGACTCGACTCGAATTCAAATCAGGTGTTTCAATGAAGTCATACGAATCATTTGAGCAAAATGACCTGACTCGACGTTACTATAATCATACGAGCAAAATAACTTGACTCGAACTAGACTAACTATCAAAATAACAGGACTCGGAGAAATTATTGTGCAAACATTTGAAATAGGGAAAAAAATCTGAATAAATACCGGGTGTAAATGCTGTGTTGAAAAGAAATCAAAATAATACTAGATTTCTACAGCAGTAACTTGAATTAAGAGGTGACGGTGCCAATAAATTGTCTCTACATGATTGAAATCCCAGTATTTTAAATGTCTAACTATGAATTTGTTAATACCTCTTTTCATGCGGTATATTTTGTGTGCCATCGCTTCTGTGTCATTGTAATCGATGAATCAGTTAGTGTAAGGTTGAGCGATACGATAATTGATGAGTGTCTTCAATTGAATTAAAACTTCCCTCAGCATTTACAATGCAGTTCGAACTTTTGCTATCCAAACTGTTCCATTACTTGACGGCGTACCGGTAGGTTATAACTGAGGGATATGCATAGTTAACTTAATATCGTTTGCTCACGCTTTTTTCGTCTTCGTTTATTTATGTTACACAGTTCTCTCGTTACGCTTGAGTGATGCGTCATGGTATTCTCTCAACGCGATATTGTGGCTCGTTTAGTACTTAGCTATCTGGCTGTAGCCCATGTCTGATGGGTATGTAGGTAATCGGACTGATATGATATCGTATACAATATATTGTTTTAATGTCTTGTCCCTTTGACAGAAATCGATTGCTTCTGCGAGCAAAACTCATAAAATAACATCTTGAGACAAATTCATTTATGTTACCAAATACAGTTATCATCGTTATACATAACAGGTGTGGCAACTTTTTTAATTTATCGTCGACTAAAACACCACCCGACCCTCGACTAGGCGTGTGTCGCGCTTGGGCGATGTAAACGGATTCAACAGCGACTCGAAATCCAAGATATATGTATTTTATTGGGAGCGCAAAATAAATGTAACAAAACGAATTGTTTTGCGTTATAACTTCGTATTTTCGCAAACCGGGTGTCGTGAAAAGTAAAAATTTGATCTAAATTAATCGAAAATGATGTTCTATCATCTAACGTCGGATACTCATCATTTTCCGGGAGAACTCGAAAAGTCATTGAATTTAAAATTGAGAATGTCTCACTATTCCAAAAAATTAAGATAATTACATTATAATAAATGAAATGGTGCAATAACGCCATCTTCGAGTTCTGAATATTCAAGCTGGGATTACGGTGTTTGATGTCTGCCACAAACGCTTTTTCGGACTCTTTGCGAGTTTGATATCGTTTGTGGGCTCTTCGCGAGAAAACACAAGTATGATCACACGAGACAGATTTCGTCACAAAAGAATAACGCTCGTTCCTGATTAATAAATTATAAATTCGAAATACAAAAAATGACGCACGGCGCCGAAGAGGCGGAAACCGAGTCCTAGGGATGCGAATCCTCCGGATTCGGTATACAATACCGTTCATCCGGGCCTGGGAGTATCTGAATTCTTTTGTGCTGTAATCCGGGTATAAACCTTTAATTACTATTCAATAAGTGCAATCACAGAACAGTGGAATTTCTCTGCCCCTACTCCACTTTGATAACTCATGGTACCGACGCAGAGATGACGGGCAGATGCCACGATCCCCTACTTCATCCTAATGCCTCAGTGTATCTTTTCATTTATTTCAACCTACAAAACCATTCCGAATACGCAAATAAATTCAAATGGAAATCCTCTTTTATAAGCTTCAAAATATAACAAACTGATGACGTAGTAACGTAACACTCATGCGTAGGGAACCGGGGATGAGCGAACTATATTCAGTAAACTATGGTTTATGCTTCGTCAAAATACCTTTTCATCGGAGACCTTATTCGTTGCCGCCTAGCAGGTAGCAGGCGGCGTTCGTGTTCAAAACATATACGACATAAGATTTTAGAACTAATTTTGTGAGAGGCGAAATCTGATCTGCCCTTATTCGACTCCAACTATAAACTAGTGAACAAAAACAAGTTTATTTTTAATATATATAGTAGTATTGAGTTTTGAACGACTCGCCAACAACAATATAATTTGATTTAACCCCTGAATAAAAAAGTATTTATTTACTTTTAGATCCGGCCAGGGTCCTCAAAACTGACGATGGATATTTGCTCGAAAGTTTTCTAACAGCTGTCAAAAATCAATCCACAGCAAAGCATAATTGCAATAAAAGAAATGGCTGGCTGATAAAAGATAACACAATGCAAAACTACGTGGAAAACCTCGTGAGGTAACTTTAGCATGTCAAATGTCTGTGACCGTACGTAACTATTTGATACAAGTCGGTTTCAAATTATTCTTTATATACCATAACATTTCGGAGAATTCGTCACAAAAATCCATTCAAAAGTTAAAGAAAGTACATTTATGTTTCCATATATGTATTCATTGTTCCCATATCTTGTATGTTTTACATGATACAATTTGGGGGAAATTTACTCTATTAAGACCACGCTTTTCGTTTTCAATTCTGTTAAGTAATTGCTCGTAAATAAATAGGAGTTTGCCGATGCGAAAGCTATTTTAAAACTTCTTTCATCTATTATTACTACTTCCACGTTCGATACTTTACATTACTAGTGGATACATGTGGGGTGGAAATAAAGATTTTTTCATTGGATTGGAATACGATTCAAAGTTAGGATGGCATTGGGCAGATGGTACAATATTGAACTATACCAATTGGTGAGTGATATATTATAAATTTAATGATGTATCTGAAAACTTTTTCTGGTTCTACACAAGTAGCGACTGACACACTTTTGCAGATACATGACGTGAGACTGAACATGGTATACCGATGACAATGTGCTTTCGAGTTAATCAGACACTGACAAAGCCGTATGCTCGGTGACGTGGTTCTTAGCAAATTTGTCTCGCATGTTGGAGGCGATTCCCTATTAGTTGGCCCAATGTCATCTATCGTTTGAAAATGTATATACTCTATGCACAATGATTCTGTTCCTTATTGTAAAACGAAATTATATAATTGAAATAAATAATTTTAATTTATTACAGGGGTGGTTATGAAGGTGGTATATCCAATAGTCAAAACTGTGCTTGTATCTTCTCAAACACAGGAAAATGGGCTGACGTTAAATGTAGTCAGGTTATTAGAAGATACGTCTGCCAGTCAGGTAAGAGAATGATCAAAACATACTGAAGAAATCATTCTGATACAATATAATATCTGTTGCTCCGAAAACGAGAAATGGGACATTTCACTTCGTGAATGGGTAATGAGTATTATGAACCAAACGAATACGGGTTAAACAAAAATTATATAAATTTCACGGGGTAGTTTGAAATAAAATTTGAAGAAAAAAAATGGCTAAATTTGTGTAAAAAAATTTATAATATTAATATATATTTATTTTATTATATTACAGTTTCTTTTTTAATTTATTTTGCTACAGTACTTTTGACCATCAAAGCTACCGAGACGGAAGTAGTTGTGATACGTGGGAAATCGACATCGATTACGCTGAAAATAAACAGTCAAGATGATCCAGTGAATATAGAAGTTTACAAACTTCCAGACGGAACATCTATTGTTCACTCTGAACCAGATGTTGAATCTACTTATACGTATACAACAGAACCAATCGATAATTTTCAAAACGTTACTTATAAGTTTGTCGCGACTCCAACAACTAAGACATACACTATAGAAACACTAGTGGATATTTATGTGCATTGTAAGTTGACTAATCTTTGTGTAGAATTTATACGCACATTATTGTTTTCTCTGTGTGACCCTTTTTGCTCCGAAAAAGGTCACTGTTATTTAACGCAGTGGTTCTCAACCTTCGAAGCTGGCGGACCGGTAAAATTAAACAATATGTACTCGCTGACCGGCAAAAAATGAAGTGAGCGGGGCAGAAAATAATACCATATATTTGCGTAATGTAGCCAACCACTACGCTTTTGGAAAAAAAAAGGCACTTAAAAATATTTAACATGAGGAAAAACTATCAAGTAATGTGCCGCCAAAAATTAAAATTTGTGGAACATAAAATAATAACATATATTCGCGTAAGAAAATGCAGTGCTGGGAAACCATTATGACAGACATCAAAAAAGGTTTTGCGACACGAAGCTCTACAGCGGCTCACAATCGAATTATTTTCTTCGTTTGATTAGCGATGGGTATTCGTTATCAAGAGAGCTCAAGAATGAATTGTGACAATGATTATTTTATAAATCTATACTGTAAAGTAGAGGTTTCATTAGGTGCATCATGTCAATCCCTCTACATTTGATCGACGCCCCAAACAAAATGAATTTATATTGCAATGATAACATCGTTGCTAACTTGGCACCAGGCTCAAAATCCTGCTGTGCATCACCTAGAAAAGATATCAGCGGTCCATGCTTTTGTTGCGTGTCGCATGTCCACCTGCAGGTTCGTAACAAGCTCATATCTCGCTGGGTGTCAAGGTGGAACTCTGGAATATTATACTGTTCTTTACAATATTCTGGTTTAAACAAATAAATATTCATAACCTTTTATTTGGATGGTTATACCAAGAAAAGCATGCAAAACGGAAAAAGCAAGCATGCGGATTTTCAGGTTTCTGAATTTTGCGAGATTTAGCGGAGCGCTCTCGCGATGAATCGGAACCAAAAAAAAAACGAAAAGTGTGATTACTCGGCGCCAAGACGTCGCCGGGCCGCTGATACCGCACTTATCAAACAGCAATAGAGAAATTGCGTAATAAACAACGTAAGTCTTCGGTAAGATGATTAAAACAACAAACTAAAAAACAAAAATTTTTCCGCGGGCCGGCGGTTGGGAACCACTGATCTAACGATATGTGAGGACATACTTATTGGACACGTTTAGTGGCCAAAACGATCGTTTCAAAATTTTGTTGTTATTGTTATTTGTCTCCGTCTCCATTTTAAAAAAATCGCCTTTCTCTTCGAATACTGGACCAATTGCTTTGATATTTTCAGTGGTTAAAGATAAAATTTTTCTCCAGAAGGCTATTACTTTTTTTCTTGCTATGACGTCATCAAAATTATTGCCACTGGGTGGCGCTACGTGTCCATATATTTGAGCATAGCTCTCTTGTTGTTTATTCATTTGTTATTTCTAGTTTGGCATTGCTAACCAATTTTAACACCCTGGTCTAGTTGATGGATTTCAAATTTGAACCCGAGATATGTAATCTTTGGTGCCAAAACAGTCTAATGCTTTATCCAACATAGGTGTTATTCCTCTCCACTATTTTTGGAGTCTCAACACTATTTTTGGAATCTCAACAGAAGAACGCCGAGAACGACTTGAACAGTTCTTTGGTATCTGATGTCATGAAATGAGCTTTTATTACTTTTATTTTTATCAATTTTACATATGAATATTTAATAAAGGATTTGTTTTCTTATATAGATATATATATATACAACCCGAACTTAGTCGCAAGCGTTGACGTAAATAGGAATCAAAACGTACCTCGGAACTCAGCCAGCCTTCATGGCCGGCGTGTTTTTTTCTTTCACAAACCGCAATCGCAATGAAGACAAAATACGAATAATTGACTACCAAGCAATACATTTTTTAAACCTATCATTCAGTGGTACCATGACATTTGAACGTATATGTTTACTATTCCTATACTATTTACTATTTTACAGTTCCGGTGAACATAACAGAATTGTATCCAGTCGAAATTTCCACTCCGGTCACGACTGGTCCGAGTTATGTGACCTGTGAGGCAACAGGTTCGCCTCCTGCAAAGTCAAAATGGTTCAGAGATGAAATGGAAGTTTCAATAAACAAAAATAGTACAATATATCAGAGGAAGAGTGTTGGGAAATCGTTACTCTTCATTGAAAACGCGGTTCTTTCTGACGGCGGTTCCTACACGTGCCGTGGGGTTAATTTTATCGGTGATGCGGCGCAGAAAAACGAAATAGAACAAAGTATCACGTTATCAGGTAAACCAGTTAGCAAATATCTTTGATCAATTATTACGGGCGGATATTAACTGTAAATAGACATGTTTCGAGACATCACGATGTGCACAAATACAAAAACTTAAAATATGGAGAAAAAAAAATCATTTATATGCGTGTAGTGGCGCGTGTAGCCCAAATATTGCTGGAAATTGAATTATTCGGTCCACAGATAAATATTCTTCATCCAACTTTTCTGTATAAATTTTTAGTCTATGGATCACCAGAAATTACAAAGAACAAAGTACATGAATGCAGTATTGATGGGAAAATAACAATTGATTGGAAACCTAATAACCAGACTGTCGGTATATTGCACAGGTAAATAGCAATGGTCAGCAAATAGCATAACGGACTTCATATTTCCGGTTGGCATCGCGTTCTAATTTTATTACAACTCGGGCTAGTTAGGTTGAGCATGATATGAATCAATGAAATCAATGTTAATGAATGATATTTGGCACCACCAAGTCTGTTTGGGCAATCTTCAAAACCGCTTAAAATTGTGGAGGTGGGATAAATCCATTTTACCCAAAGCAAATTTCAATGGCATCGAACGCCATAGGAAACCATTGTTTACACTTTGGTCATGAAGATTGATTAAAGTTTAAATAAGCAGACTAACCAATTCTATAATCATTTTCAGAATCGAAGCCGTCAGTAACAATAACATATCCAGTAACTATTCCCAGATAACTAAGGCTAACGCACAGGAATCCACAGAAATACATGGACTTACTCCGTATACCAACTATACTATTCAGGTATTCAGAATCGATCGCCTTGTTTAATTTGAATGAACCTCAATTTACATGTGTGTGCAAGACTAGCGAATATCCAACTCATCCATGTACGGGTACCAGAAAAAGATACAATGCTTCCAGACACGTATTGCGTAAATTGCTTTTTATATCTGCGTATCTAATAATTACACTGTTAAGAAACAGTGAGTAACACCCTTACTACAAACAAGGGTATGATAAAAATTGTGGTACCGCAGGAGCTACTGTGTTTTGAAAAGAGCATTTTCCATTCCATTATAGAGGGAGCATTTAGCCATTTAAAAACATGTAGCATATAGGAACATGTTGTTGAACGTTGTTGATGTAGTTTCATGTTGTGAATATACAAGAAGAACAAACGATGAAGACATGGCGACACGACACCGATCCAGACGATTCGACTCCCAATACAAGACCTTTTAATACTTCCCCCAAATATCCAATTGGAACGTTATATATACGTATATGCGCGTATGGTGATATCGATTCCATCAGCGTTATTGATTCGGGTTTGGATTACTTATTAGCATCTGGTGTCATCGATAAAATAATATTTTTGGTTGACATCTGTTGTCTAATTTAAAATGTTCTTTTTATCGATCTAATTTACATCTTTGAGAATTTCGCAATAAGCAATTTCCAGTCTTTTTATGAATTTTAACCAAAATAACGAATTTATCCCTAAATATATAACAAATTTATCACACTCTGTGTTAGACATAGCGTTGGAATCATGCGATACACTTTGCTTGCATCATACACAACGCTATAAACGTTCTGTCTAAATAGGCTAAGCTTTGGTCCGTCGTACATTAACGTATATTTCTTCCGCATAGCGACGGCATATTAAATCTATTACACTTTGAGTGCGGCATTGAGTTTGAAAACTTGATCTTGCTCTACTCCAACGCCACCGCCTACAGATAAGCTTCCGTCTGATAAACTAACCTCGGGCCCGCCATTCGGTAACATAGGGTATTCAATTAAAATAAGCACACAAAAAACAATTTGACTTTTTCAGATTACTGTTTGTCCAGATGAATGCATTGCTAAACTACATGCTACATCTACGGTAGAAACAGGAGGTGGCTTGCCAGATCCAGTTACTGACGCCAGAGTTATTCAAGATAATACAAATACAAAATATTGTACGGTAATATGGTCATGGAGCGATCGAACACCGAGAAGCAATGCGATATTCCAGGTATTTCCACTTCCACGAACAAATTAGAGAGTTGGAACAAAACCGAGTTAAACTCATTCCATCAAGATTAGCCTCATATCAAAATGTTTAGATATTGTAACTACCTGAATAATATAGCAATCATTTAACGATTTTTTCTTATGTGTTAAATTAATTTGAAAAAGTAAAATTGCAAAGTCGAGGTGGTATTTCAATCCCATCCATTTTATGTTTTATTGACTACTAGATATATTTTAGATAACTAAGTCCGAAGAGAAAGAATATGTACATACTTGGTAGCATTGCAAACATTGTAAATGACGAAATTATTTGTCTGTGACAATGTATATTCCTTTTCAATATACATATCTTAAGTGATAAAGAAAGTGATAAAGAGTTCCTAAAATCTTATCGCAAGTAATGAACAAAGCATAAACATTTAGGCTCCTTCCATTTTCAAGTTTACAAATACATTTATGATTTATATTGTAGATCACTACTGTATCAACTCTCGTTAAACTCTCTGCAAACATAGAGCAACAAACATACAGTAACGAGCAATCATATGCTGGTGGAACGCTGGAAAATTTCCAAGTTCAAATTGAAACAAAGCCGAACCGAAACTACAGCTTCTGCATCAAAACAAAAACTTATGCATGTGAGTCCAGCAACACGTCGAAAGCCGATGGACAATGTGTTACTGATGTGGCGGGTAATAATTACATCCATGGTTGAAATAAAGTTATAATACAGGCGGTTTTTGTTGAATAAAACATATTAATCAGAAATTAAACGACTAGCATTTGCTCTTTATCAGTTTCAAAAAGCAGCCCGTTTTAAAACGAGGGATAGTTTTAAATTAATTTTTTTTTCTGTATTCTTTATTGAACTACCTCTTGCATCGCCGTGAAACTACGCCAAAATTCAAGCCGCGTTTATATCTGTATCCAAAGCGGTCAAAAATCTGAGAATCTTTCCAATGAAACCAAAATTCACCAAAATATGATATTTAATAACAAGCTTCTGGTAATTTGTATATAAGACTAAACATTTAGATGAATATGCCATGAATGTGATGAAAGGTTTTGGGATACATTTTAAAAATGACAAAGATTTTAAACCGAGCTAAATAAATTTTCAATATGTTATCACAATTTGGACATTAACTTCATAAAATCTTTATATTTGTTTTCTCGAGATGTTTTTCAAAATGTCTCCAAAGAAGTCTTAGTAATAAAGCTTTGTTCACGTATAACATCAAACCTGAGCTCTTATCTTGCTAATAATATTTATATATATATTTCGCAGCACCAGAAACAGTACCCGCACCGAGTACATTATCTTCTACCGGGAAATTGCAAACCCAACCTATAAAAGTCACGGTACCTGATGAGTCAAATGGTCCTATAAGGTAAGACAAAAATAAATTGACCTATTCAATAATTTGACCAAGTGATGTATTACCAGCGATTACTTGTCTGCAACTAGTATGAAGAAAAGGCTTTATTTGCCCACTAAAAATTTAAATCATTCATTAATGTTTGAATTAAATTGACCAATTTATCTGGTATCGACGTTGATATGCTGATTATTTGGTCGATGGAAGTAGGTAAGTAGCTCTTCATCTTACGCACAGGATGAATCCCGGTTAGCTTAGCTAAATAAAATAGATCCGGGTTTTATGAAAAATATAGTTTATTCCGTGAGTGATTACATGAAAGTTTGAATGGAGGGAATACTGTATCTGCCCAATAAGTATTTGAAGTTAAAAAAAACCCCATTAATGTTAGCAGCAAAGATCAGTCAAGTTATTTCTTCACAAATTAAATTTTAATTCAAGCTGTATCTTCGTGCTCGTGAAATCCGGAAATAAATTGACGAACAACGCAATCACAATGGACCATATTAACAAAGCTTCTGAGGCTGCAAGAAATCAATCCCAGGGCAATGAAGATTATCTGGCTATTGCAATACAAAGGTAAGCGCAAGGTAAAATATGGTTAACAAGGAAAGTTCACAATAATTGATTGGGAAACATCAACGATTTATTTGAATATTTAGTCACAAACCAGCAGTTTTAGTAGTTCACACTATCAATCATCTATCTTCCAGGCAATCTTTGGAACAATTTTCAGCCTGATGGCTGGTGATATATATAGCATAACGGAAGTAATTGGAACAAACAGCTTGTTCGACGAACACCAATACCTTCTGTTACACCAGCTCAAAATTTGATCTATAGGTTTAACCTTATCATCAAATCCCATCATTTTGTGCCAGCAGCGTTCTTCAAACAATTGCTTTTGTTTTAACAAAATTTTTGAATGTTTTGTTCTGAAATTTTATGCAATGCTATGAAATACAATAAAATTCTTATTCTAGAAACCATTCAAATTATAGGAAATAAATGAAACATTTATATTTCAGATCTAAAATCTTCGGTTCTTTAATACATGTATCCCTCGGCGATGACACATCTAGTACATGCGATATCTCATCGTCTTCTGCTTTTAGTAGAAGAAAACGTGCAGTAACACAAACAATATCAGGAAGAAATTTAAAACTAGAGATTGGTATAACTTACAGGTATCTCATTCTATATATATTCGGCACAGATTTTCAACATGGGTTAGTTCGGCAATGCTGTAGAAAATGATATGAATGTTTATTCAAATACTTTCCTGTACCGGTACTTCAACTCCATATCACTTTTTTGAATCATAGCAATTTACGGATCATTATTTCCATTTCCTAGCTGAAATGTTGGACCACTAGGAAAGGTCTATAATATAATTTTATTTTAATTTTTTTTTATAAACAAAGACTAATTTTTTATTCAGTTACTATGCAGTATCTTCAACCCCATCTTCTGCGTCTGGGAAAATATTTCTTCAACGAAGTATTTCAACTTCATTTTATCATGAATATAATAAAGGTATGTATTTCTGGGACGATTTATCACAGGCATTAATACCTGAAGATTACCAACATTTATTGTTTTTGCAAATTGCACACTACTTTGCCTTAAAAGTTAGATAATGGCTTGATGTAAGATTTTAAATTTCTAGTTTATGGCATGGATACATGCCTATCTTCTTTCAACAAAGCTTATACTAAAGGAGATGAAATGATTTGAATTTAATATGATTAGCAATTTCTTGCCTATCTTTATGGTTTCTTTGGATATATAGCAATGCTAATAAAGCTTCATTTTGCTGTTGTTGGTGATTCAAATATTCACTCTTCTTTCAAACTACTTAACCAATCACTTCCAGAATTATTACACGTAGAACTTCAAGCGTCCACCAGGGCGCAAAAATTTGGTGTTTTTTTTTTATCTTCACGCAGACCATCGATTTACACCATGTATGATTGACAATGATAATGCTTGAAAAATAGCTCCTCCATTTTATAGTTATCGGGAAGCGAAGAAAGAATTAGGCCATAATATGAGAATGTGTTATTGTCATAGTGTGTAATTTCACGTATTCTAAGGTACGATTAACGCAATTTCCGCTTCAACAAAAAATAACTTTACATGCTACGTTTTCTTAGATCCTAGTTTGTGGTGGATTGCTGGTCTTATCGGTGGTTTGGGTGCTTTGGTAGCTGTGGTTCTGGTGGTTATCTACATGAAGAAAATGTAAGTCTCTTAGGCTACAAAAATATTTTTTCATTTTTCCACTGCACCATTTTTCTGAATGTGCAATAAATAAAGGATGTTTGTGTCTACATTGAGTTTTCACGCCGTTTAGTCATTATAATCCCATAACAAATGTATGTTCTATCTAAGCAGGCGACGGACTAGAAAATCGACTGATCAAGACGACCAAACATTACAAATTGAAAAGACAGATAAAGGTTAATAAGCACAGTATTTTTAGAAGTACAAGTGTGTTTCTTTAAAGTCTGATGCAAACTTTAAAATGTATTGCAGTATTTAAACTTTAAATGTATTGTATTTCTAGTTTCACATTGCACCTATACTTGTATTCATAAGTTCTTACTTCTAATCATACCAGAGACATTACAGCATTTTTTTTTGCACGCTGGGTAGGGCTTATGTTACAATTATATGATTCGCGTTTTTGACTAATATATCCGTGAATTACTGACTGTTTTTCTGAACCTTGAACGTAGTGTAGGAAACTTCTTTAATAAACATGAGATTTTCACCTATCAATTTACCTCATCGGATATGAAGTACATGTATGATAAGCGTGAGTTCCGGGGAAGTTGAAGCAATTTACATTAATACAATAGAAACAAGGCATAAAATAGTTTGTAGACGAAAAAGTTTATCACAAATAGTTCAGTAGATTAGATATTGGCAGATAACGTGATTAGTGATTACATATCATTAGTTTTTTTGGATATACCTGTGATTCAAAATCCAAGTTCAATTCAATCTTACTTAACTAATGTGAAAATTACTGACCTGCCAAACTCCCGATCGCGTCCACGTGACATATTCATATTGACATGATATCATCCTAATTTTCAGCTTCAGTCAATTCCCACTTTCGTACTAATTTTGTTGAGAGTGACGAATCGAAAACCTTAATTGCATTGGAAGAATTACTTTCAAAATTTGAGCAAAAAAATGCGAATGGCGGAGAAAAATTTCTAGAGGAATTCAAGGTAATATATAGTATGCTCACTTTGGGTAACCTTTTAAGCAATGATTCATACGAGTTCGCTACTTCAAAAAAGAGCACTTCAAAGTAACCAAGCAGTAAAACGTAACTTCAATGGTTCTTTCCGTGTACTGTTCTGTTCCTGTATTATACAAAAACTATCTTGATATGTCAATTGAAATTAGAATGAGTATTATAGATATAGGTATCAATGCACTCAGAGCGGTTAAAAAGAAAACGGGCCATACTTTGTGGACAAACAAACTGCGCGATAAATCATATTTATTCGTCTATTTTATTTATTTCTTTAATAAAGAATCTTGAACAAGAAGCCGTAACGATGTTTTCAAACAGAATGGCGTTGAAAAATGTTATAAAGACTGAGAACAAACACAATAATATTTTACCTTGTGAGTATGGAAAGTGCAAAATTGCTGCAAATGTTTTTATTGTGGATTAGAATAACAGTAATTGTGAGCATAAATACGCGCCAAACTTCTAACTATCTGCTAGTGTACCGAGTTTTGTCAAAATCAAAAATGCCGCGTGCTTTATAACTAAGAATACAAAATGCTCATTCCTCTTTCCAGTGGACTTGTCCCGGGCTCCTTCAAATAGAGAAGAAGAAACACATGCCAATGCCTGCTACATTCACGTAAGACAACATTTTTGTCGTGTGATGCTCAAAACAATTTCTTAATAATCTCATGATGACATAGACGGGGGTTCTCAAGCTTTTTTTTGTCAAGTACCCCCCGAGTCACGAAACAATCAACGCGAACCCCCGGTAATCAGACACCGAACGAACTTCGTCTTACAGTTCATGAACGCACAGTTGAACCCCATGAGGGCGCTGTCGCTTGTATTATTACTCTGTGATATGTTGTGATTTTGTTTTTCTATAAATTTTGATTGATTAAATTTGTATAATTTTTTTTCATTCTTTCTAAAACTTCAGCACACAGGTGTCGCTGACTCGATGACTGACACAGTCTTTCCCGACACCTTATCTATTGCTATGAATCTCTCACTTGTATCAATTCTTATGTGTATGATTACATTTTTTACGATTGTCATTATACACCTTTGTCAATTTTTCGTGCTTCAAGTTTATGTGTTGATTCTTGCATGATAGAAATAAATCACCTGAATCAGAATCTGTGATATATTGACTAACGATTTGTTGAAACAACAATTTATTGACCAGATAACTAAATTAAATTTTCGTGTTGATATTATTGCCCTTGTCCCCCGCCAAACTGATGAATTCTTAAAATCTCTCTCAAGTTTTAATAGGCACAATCACTTTCTTCAATGCTTGCAGTACGCTGTCGTATAAGATTTCACAGTTTGGTTGCAAATCCGTGAATTTCACAATGTTGCGTCACAGTCACAACAACGCAACACCAGGAAAAATCTACGTTTCAATTGGCAACTAGTTACAATCGACACGCATTTTCCTCTGATAGTAATAAAGGATATTAAAAAACAGCAACACACAAAAACTCGACTTCCGTCTAAGTACCCCTGGAAAACTTCTCCTGAACCCCTGGGGTTCGCGAACCCCAGGTTGAGAACCCCTGAGTCATAAATGGATGTATTATTACCAATTTACTCTTAAACGAAATAAAAAATGGTTCAAAGACCCAGCAGAAAACTTTGTAAATCGAAGCAGCATATACACCTCCGCAAAGTATAATTAATCAATTATAATTTTTGTTATGCAAAAAGGTTGAAAATTTAAATCTTGTTATTTAGGGGTACAGTAAATCTAAGAAGTTCATTGCAATTCAAGGGCCTTTGGCCTCGACCGTCAACAATTTCTGGAGATTGGTGGTCGAACAGAAATCCAAAGTAATTGTAATGTTAACAAATTGTTCAGAAGCACAAGAGGTATTATGGGTTAGCTGTTTTTCATGTTAATATATTGAAAAAAAATTTGCGATTTGTTTTTGAATAGTTGATCAAATTTCCAAAATCTTAACCTATTTTGTACCTTTGACATCGTTTGTATTGCTTGCCAAATCTATCAAAACCGTTTTTTGGTGAACAAAATGCGAATACGATAACCTAATCATTTAGTTGCAGTTTGTCATTTTTTGCTAATTTTTACTTCATGAAGTCATAGAACATTCGTTTTATACCTCGAAAACAAATTTGTTAGGAAAAAGGCCTAGAAACTCCCAAGCAGCTTCGATTCAAATTTCACTTGTTTCGCACCTTTTTGAAAGATCTAGAAATAAATTAGCAATATTCCATTTTATAATTTTGTTAATGTATTCAGAATAAGTCTGCAAAATATTGGCCAGACCATGGAAAAGATCTAATGTTCGGACATATCAAAGTATCGTGTAACGAGGAGAAATTCTTCGGAGGCTACAAAAAAAGAATTTTCACTATTTCTACTGGAAATGTGGTTTGATTAAAAAAATACCTATTACATTTTTATATTACAAACTTCCTACTGCACGTTGCTCCCCCCTAACACACTGTCTTTAGAACAACCAAATTATATTGAGTTTTGATGTATAACCCTTATATAACACGATTTGGTACTCCTGAAGTATGCACACCAAGATGTCGCACAACCTTAACCTAACCGGGTACGCAACCTGAGTTCAGGTTGTGCGCCATCTTGGTGCGCATACTTAAGGAGGTCCCACAATATATTAGAGATTGTCTGCGATCTACACGAATTTTGATATAAATAATTGAGCTACTATGGAAGTGAAAACGAGAAAATATATAAAATTAGGTTTAATAGGGATATTGCCTATAAGTACCAATTCTTTCTTCGCCTGAGATGGGCAAAAGAATTGATGTATTTGTACTACACGTAAAAATAAATATAAAAGTAATTAAATTATAAATTTCGGTATCGCTCAGTTACGCATTCACTCAAACTTGTTTAATCACAGCCTGCCTATCAAATTGAACAATATCATTTCCTGAATTGGCCTGATCACGGAGGTCCTGTTACAACTTCTAACTATTATCGATTCTATGAAGCTTGTATGGAAAGTCATGGAAACGAACATTACCCCATTATTGTGCATTGCAGGTAATATTTTGCAGGGATAAGCAATATATTTTTTCTTTGCTTGTTGGAAAATAATCACAAGCACACTTCAGTAGTTGAAAAGCAATGTACGAGATTAAATTTGGGCGCTCCAGAAGTATGTGTACCAGCATGGATGTAACTAAGTTTTTCGCCTAATCCACATTAAGTTATGTAAACGTACTGAAGCCTATGGGCAGGGGGTATATTCACTTGGCTAACACAGACAGTCCCTGAACTCGTAATAGAACTGAAATCAAGAAAAGAGGAATAAAATCATGGCCTAACCAAACCCTGGTACACATACTACCGCAGTACCTGAATTTGGCGATCGAGCTCAAAATGCTTGATCCAAAATAACAAAATAATCGACACCACCTTTGTAATCCAATCTAAATATTTAATAGTTTTAAAAGCTAGCTTAAATTGTGCACGAACGTCTAGCAGAATGACGTTCCCAGACATGTTCTGAAGTAATTTTTAGATATACAGAGATACTAAATTTAGTTGTCTCGGGCTTAATGTATTACAAACGATCTCTATTGCTTGTTTTGTGTGACAAGTTTACAGTAGCAACAATTGTTAACATTTCAAAATTGACGTAACAGTTGGCAATTTTCGTATCTGAACTTTTGCAATGTTAGTTTGAGGGGATTAATGTTTCGATCGTCGAGTTGTTTAAATGCACTGAATCAATAGTTGATACAACTATGCCAGAAAACGTAAATAATTTTTATTTAGCCAACTATGTTGTATATTTTAACCACTGAATTTAGAGACTCCGTTCAGTCAAACAATTTTTTTCTATATTAGAAACAAAAGGAATCACTTCTTTTTTTGGTATTATTATTATATTGTTGTTGTTGAAATTCTTTTCTTGTTTTGGTTGTTATGAAAAATCGCTTTTCTCATAAGTACAGGACCAATTGCTTTGAAATTTTTAGTAGTTAAAAATTTTATTTCCGATAGAAAGCTGTCATTTTTGTTTATTTGAAAAAATTCGTTGGACTTTGATGGATTCTTTTTTATTTTGTTCGTTGACGTCATCACAGTTAAACATTAAACACCTTGTGGTGCTTACTCGTTCACGTTAGCGATCTGGTGGTAAGGCGGTATCAGTAGTCTACAGATATCTGTGATACTTTGCTTTGATTTTTGTGTCCATATATCTGAGCAACGCTTTTTTTGTTTTGCCGTGATATGCTTTTGTGGTGTGTAAAATCCAAGATCGAGGTATAATCTAATCTCTGACTGGGAATGTTCACATTCGTTTCTTACTTGCAGTACTGGAGCAGGTCAAACAGCAGTGTTCATTGGTTATGATTGCTTAATTGAAGAAGCTGGTTCTGCAAATCGTGTTGATATCTATCATTGTGTTCTTAAGATGAGACAACAAAGAGTGGACATGGTTCAAACAAGTGTGAGTACTTTACAATATTATCGAATAATGGATTTGAAAATTACTGACTTTTAATTTTAACAGAAGCCTTTCCCATAACTTCAATCCACCCGATCCATCCTGATTGTCTCTGATATTTTGGAGACATAACATAAAACTAATGAAATTCATTCCTTTCCTTATCAATTTAAACTTTATAATAATGTACTTTTTGTATCCAACAAAACTCTCTAACTGTAAGCTGCATTATTGCCAAAACTGGGCTTATTTGATTCCACGCATACTGGTGTCAGAATTAGACTACAGAACCATATCAAAAAATTAATTGATTAATTAATTAATTAATCAAAATTAATTGACAATTCATACAAGTGATTATTTAACGGTTCGAATACTTTACTAACTTTAGATACTTCTAACTCTACTGAAATTTCTAGTTGGTAATAAATATCTTCAATAATTTGAAAGAACAACGACAAACCTAATTTTTTATTATTATTCCACAGGATCAATACAAACTTCTTCATAAGTTTTTGGTCGAGTATCATTTGTTTGACAAATCAGATACAGATGGCATTGGACTCGAGGAAAAGATTCAGGAAGACAAAGTGTAAGTGACTAATTGTCTCGTTTTCACAGTAATTTAGAAATGTTAGACCAAAACAAGGCTTTACGTCGCTTACGTGGTAAAATACTGTTAGAGCGACATGGGGTGTTTCCACTTACAAATGAGATGTATATGAAGGTTGTTTGAGAACACAAAAAGGGGTCTGTAGGCAGATGTAGACACAGTACTTGTAATGAATGCTAGATAACTCTAGCATGTGTATGTCTATAACGCTGGGTGGAAAAGATCATTGCACAGTGCTTTTGAATAATATTGTATTTAGCAAAAACTATAATCGTAAAAAAGAAGTTTGTGAAAACAAAACAAAATGAATTTGTATCATCAATTACTTTAGGTCAGCGCAAACTTCCAGGATAAAGAAAGAGTTCGAAAACCTTGATGTAACTGCTAGTATCAGCAAGATCGACGCAAAGCATGGTATGTATCCTGCTTTTACTTGAAGGATAAGCATTAACATTAATATCATTGCAGGCAAAAGATTACCAAAACGAAACGAATCGTATGCTAACTACACCATCAAGCACGGGTACTACTATATCCAGGGTAACAATAGCTTATAACTGGTTGACTAATATCAGGTTATTATTACACTAATATAATTGGTGAACGATTCAAATGTTATTCAAAAATTTTACCAATTGCAGATGAAATAAATGATTTTCATTTCATATGATAATATCATTAAATAAATAGGAATTGGTAATCAGTATAAATCGGCGTATTGATTTTATACTAGAATCCCAGTTATCTTCCTTTTTGGGTTTATACAAATACAACTGAGACGATGGGCTTCTACTTTCTAGTACAAATCTTTTACACTTGGCCTTTCTAGCAGAAACTATTTAACCTCGTACTCATCAATAGTATGATCATTTGGTAATACCCAAACTTTCGAAAGTACATGATATATAATGAGAAGATATGTTATAATTTCATGCGAGTGATCGTTAGGTAATTGATAAAATAAGTAGGCTGTATAAAATTGACTGTTATTGACAGAATCTTCTTAAACAACTTACATGATTTTTGTCTTTTTATCTGTCTATTAAAGCTTCATGGTTGTATCATATAAAATGTTTAAAATGCAATATGATGTTGTTATATATCTTGAAGGTATTTATTCAACAAAGTTTTCAATTAATTGCAAGAGTACATTTTTACCATCTGCTTCATTGATGGCAAAAAATTTTAAGTGACAAAGAATTATATGTTTGTAATTAAACTTAATTTATTAATCGGGAACGATTTTATTCCAGCTGAAAACTCGAAAATCACTTTAATGTGGCAACAGGGAGATGGAAACGTTATACCCAGAATAACCGCTAATCATCTCAAGGTATTTTTCCCAATATGCTTCTATTTTGGTAACATTTTTATGACGAATTCTATATCACGTACTTATATCTCTCCCAGAGTACACATCTGTTTGTAGTGGTTAAATTTAGTCAAACACCAAAAACTTCTTCTTATTTAATTAAACTTGGTCTGAAGTACTATCTTGGATCCTTTGTTGTTTTCAAAATACTGTATATTAATGTTCAGTCAAATATAAAGTCTTAACTAAAGGGTTTTTCTACTCTATCAATTTTTCTACTTTTGCAGACATACGACGAATCTATTCGCATGATTGCTTGTGAAGGGCCAACGTTGTCAAATGTGGAATATTTCTGGAGAGCTGGATTGATAGTGACGTCACCACGATTGTGATGCTAAATGAACTCGTAAATGAAAATGTTAGATTATTTGATAATTAATTTATTAGGAAACTACTTGACAATTGTTTGACAAAAGGTTATTATCAATCATCAGTATAAGTTCTAATATTAACATTTTATCTCAATCTAATTCTCTATTCATGAAAATAAGTTTACTTTTCTGGAATGATATTTGATACAAGTTCGAAATAATTTACAGGATATTCAATCATTAATTGCAACTTTTACCATAATGACCATAAAAAAATGTAATTTAGATTTACACCGAATACTCACACACACTGAAGGTTCATTACACCTTTTTCTCTAGTTATAGAAGTTACAATAATATCTAAAAATTTAGGGGCACAACATACAGTACTGGCCATCAGAAGAGGGATCATTGAGAATATTTGGACAAATAACTGTTCAGTTGAAGAACTCGTACGCAACGGGGGAATATGTGCAAAGACATTTTATTATTGCGCGTGGTGATGAACAAAAAGTGAGTTTGTAAGAATTCCTAAAAACAGTTTTTACAGGTTGTCAAATTACTGTGAAATACAACATCATTGATGCACAAAAGATTTGTTCATTACAAAGTCTAATACAGCATCAGAATATTGATATACTCTGACAAAAATATGTAAAATCACCAGCGATCCATGAAATACATGAAGTGTATCACATGTTCAACAAAAGTTTTCGTTGCTTTCATAGGAAGTAACGCAATATCAAATCTCGGGATGGACATCCAACAAATGTCCTGATGACACTATTACCGTCCTCGACATAATTCAGGAAATTCAGACGAATTCTAGGAATCGAAATAATTCGACGGTAATAGTGACTGCAGGTATATAAATAAATTTAAAAATGTCACAAATTTCATGTATTATTAATCAACGTTATGAATTGTTCCAAGAAGTAATATACTATGTTTGGTTAAACCTATATGAGTCCTTTTTATTCACCTCAAGTTCGGCAGACGCGGAATTCCTAAATATCTCACTCAATTAACCAATTGGAAGTTTTACAAAATTATTGCTCATACTATTATAAGCAAACTCGAAATGGCTGCCCATGCTTACAAACATTCATACAGATCTATAGAGATATATAAAAAAAAAATTCAATCGAATATTCCAGAGTAAACTTTTCATCGCACTGATAATAAACAAAATATATTTTGAAAACATTAAATATTAACTTTCGGTTGAATATATTGAATTCAATTGTGTTTTTCACTGTTTTTGGGCGTTTTAGCAAGGTTTCTAGTGTTCTTAGACGGTTTTTTACTGTTTCTAATGTTTTTAGACAGGTTTTCACTTAATTATCTATATCTTAAAATCATTTTATATTTTCAGTGTTGGCTTTGGAAGAACCGGTACATTTTGTGCCATAATGAACTTGATTTCCCGGGCGAATGTTGATGGGAGAGCCGATGTTTTTCGAGTGGTGAAGGATTTGAGAGATTGTCGACCAGGGATGGTTCAAACATTGGTATGATAATTTTTTTGATTATCAAATCATATATACTTTAATAATATTATTGATGAACTTTATTTTGCTAACATTTGCCCAACGCAAATTGAGTGAAATTTTCTCATGAAGAAATTAAATTAGAATCGAAGTTTTTGTCACCAAGTTTAAGTACAAAGATAAAATCGGGTCGGAATTAGCAATTTGCAAACTGTATTTAGATTGTAGTTTTGCTCCACCGTAGTACGAATTATTGACTGTAGCTATATAATGGTCAAACAATAATCCGCGTAGTTCGTCCAAGAGATCCAAGTGATCCATGAGAAAGTAGATCTAGTATTTGATGTATTCTATGGCAATTGTTTTTAATTTTGACTTTATGCTTCGACCATGAGTCCAACTCGAGCACTATCTGGAAAGCATTCCCACAATAAAATCCTAACACATTTTCAGGATGAATACCGGTTTTGCTACCGAGCTGTTGAGCAGTATCTATGTTCCACCAACGTCTACGAAACTGTGAAAAACGTTGTGAAAGAGAAAACATACGGAAAGCCTATGCAGTTGCATGGCCGTGGAGCAATTTACGAAAATCATCAGATGTCAGATTGATTCAAATATCAATAAGAAAACGTCGATATAAGAATTACTCAATTTAATTGAATTTGAAATGTTGTTATGGCTCTATGTACTATTGAAGTGTACCACTATTCTAATTTATTTTATAAATATATTGGTAATTTCGCAATATTTTCCTCGATATTATTTCCCATAAAATATTTGTTTCCATTGCAATGGTTTTCTTCCATTTGTTTCAAATCAAAAGCAAAATTATTTTTTAATTAAAACTTATTATTTAAACAATTCTGGTTTCATCATCAGACGTGAGACTAGATTTGGCTTAATTTATCATCGGAAAATTTTCGAGATTTATTGAATCTATTAATTAACAATTGTTTTTTACGAGTAGTAATCATGTTATAGGGGTTCATTGTATAAATTTGTGATTAAATTTTTATACCAATATATCATGTTCCAATTCAATTCAAATTTGTCTATTTTGAAAAAACTTTTAGAAGACAAAAGTAGTAGAAGTTTTATTTTTGTATATTTGCTCCTATGACCTGTTTCGCATATTTTCTGTAAAATGCTTTTGAATTGATTCTGATACTGATTTGGCGAGGTCTAACCAAATTGGCAAAGTCAATTTTATTTTGCACACGTACTAAAGAACAATCACAATAATTATATAAAATGCAATATTAAATAGAAAGAAACGCATGTAATTGGAAAGAAAGAAAATCATGTAACGTCATACCTGATCAAAACTTATACGGTTAACTAAGTTCTAAAATGAAGTTAAAATCTTTGCAAAAACCGAATTTTTATTTTTTAAAACGCATTCCGACATATACTAAGTTTTGTCAATGATGCATAAATTTTGGTTGTTTATGATATTTCAAAAAGTATTACAAAGTTATATTTATATGTTTAAATTATGTTTTGGTTTATTGGCCTTATGCATAATGCATTTTAGCAGTCAACGCTACCTATTTCAAAATGTATTCCAAATTCTCGGTTTTTCATATTTTCTTATTTCATGTATGCCACCAACATACGTAGCATGAAACAATAACTGTAAATAAATTGATGATTTATTCATTAAATTGATATTTTAGAAAAATAAACAGAAAAGCTTAGTTATAAATGTCTATCAGATTACTGAAGATTATATACAAAGGGTCGTTATTTTAGAAATGAAGCGATAGTTGTAGTACAATGTATTAATTACGACGTTAACCGTCGAGGCTTCTGTTGCCGATGAAGACGAACGGGAGAGTAACGCTCAAATATATGGACACGAAGACCAAACAAATATTTCACCGGAGCGCCAGCCCAATGTAGTTCTATTACATATATATTAATATTACAGTGTATATTTGTGACAAACCGTTAGGGAATAGTAAGGAAACAGACTTTGATATCATTATTTTGAAGACAACTTTGTAGATTCTTTACCTTTATCAACCACTCTTTTTTCATCTGTGCTGTACTAGCTAGTATTTAATTTGGGAGTCAAATCCAATCTCACCCTATCAATAAAGATATTGTTCCAATCAAAGATTCATCAAATTATTCACAAGAAAATTTTCATCAACACCATATACATCTCTATTTAATTGAATTATGGCATTCTCAGCTGTTCATAGCCAAAACTCCTCAAATATTAGTTGTTTTTTGGCAAATGGACAATGGGATAATGCGCTCGTGTGTGAACGTAAACATTTTGTAAAACAGAATATTGTTGAGCATTTGAACATTAAAAATATAGTATCTACAGGTATGTAGTAGAGTTGAAAAAGATAGTTGCATTTCGGATTTGTTTGTAATTTGAGAATTTGTTTTATTAATTTGTTATATCCCCATTTTTAACGACTGTTATACTCTACGAACAAGATGCCGAAACGCGTATTACTTATCGATCTCGATCGGTAAGTATGTTGATAGGTATTGTCTGTTTGTTTGTTACTTATCGATCTTAAGATCGGTAAGTATGTTGATAGGTATTTGCCTGTTTGTTTGTTTGTCTGTCTGTTAGATGCACGTGATATCTCACGAACGCAAATCTGAATCTGCTCCAAATTGTGCATGTGCATTCATCATAGCTCGGATCAGAAGCCTATTGATTTTCGATGAATTATGTCGTATAATTAGCGAGTTATTAGTTAATTGGTGATGGGACACACGGTGTCACTATGGAGTAAAAGCACTGTTTTTGAGGAGCCCATAACCTCCGATAGATAAGTCTTCGGTCTTCGACCAATATCCTCGTTTGTTTGTTTGTCTGTTAGACACTTTCGTATGTTACGCGATATCTCACGAAAGCGAGGTTGAATCTGCCACAAATATTGCATGTGCATTCATCATATATCATACCAGGAGCCTAATAATTTTGGATAAATTGTGTCGTATAATTAGCGAGGTATTAAAAAATTAGTGATGGAACACGCGGTGTCGCTATTGAGTCAAAGCGAAGGAATCGAAACCGCAGTTTCTGTTTTGGGAGATTTACTAACTTTTGTCGCTGCGAACGATTGTGTGCGTAAAAATGCCCTGTCTGCGATGTGAAGCGTTTAGGTTACACGCCGCAGTCAGAACAAAACAAAAAAGATTTTCATTTTTTATCGAAACGTTGAATAAAAGATTTTGTCAAAATACCCAACTTCTCAAGTGCTCGTTTGGCTGCCGACTGACCAAGATTCTATTCTCTACGTGTGAACATAATGAGTATTCATTTGCACTTTTTTGATGCGACAACGACAGATATGCTTTACAACTGAAACTGACAGTGATGTATTGCAACTTAATCATACGTTTCCTGTTTTGTTATCTGCCTCCATTGCAATATGAGCAGATTTCAAACTTTCAGTTTTCGAACTTAAACATGAAATGTACATTGCCTATAAGTACTGCTAGAAATGAATTCTATGTAACAAGAATAAAACAAATCTGTGTAATGATTTATTTCAAAAATTTTGCACCGCCCATTTTGTTAACACAAATTACAAGCTAAGTCAATATAATATCAGCATGTAAAAAATAAATGAAAAGTTTGAGTGTTTTACAAATGTAATAACGATTAAATGAGTAAAAGCAATGCATATTTCTTGTAATATTTTGAATTTTGTTCAGCATACCCAGTATTAAATCTCGGTGATACTAATTAATAAAAGCACATTGCATTATATCACAAAATTTCAAAAAAAAATTTTTTTTTTTCATTTTTCTGGAATGTCGCGGAACATTTACAGATTCAAAAAAAAAAAAATAACATATTATTATAAAGATAATATTTCTCCTACTCCATATAATCATAATATTTCACAAATCATACATATATAACTCAAAACCATAATCATGTTCTAACAATATTGAACCTAATCGAAAGTTGCCAATGAAAATACCCAAACAAATATATCATATTTGATCGAACATTCAGTTTTAAATCTGTCTGTTTCTGATTATGAATGTAATGTTTATCGAAAACAAACGATGGTGTAATTTATAAAATATTCAAAGGCTATTTCTACACATCTTGAATTTTTAATGTTACATATTACTCAATATTAGTAGATCATTCGTCAGGAACATCTATTAATATTATACACAATTCTGGGAGAAATATTTGAATTCCAACAATTTCTCGACATTGTGCCCAATATTTACAACCAATTAAGTTTTCCCTTCATATTTTTGACACCACCTATCCATCCGTAGATTTTTCTTAATTTCTCCCTCTTTCGAAAATACGTCCAATTGATTTTTCTTAAACATAAAAATAATATTTGTTAATCTATGAAGAATATAAGTAAA